TCATGGCTAGCTGCAAACTGCACTATTCACATGCCAGACAAACAAGTATGTTCTTAGTATCATTAAGGCTAAGAGAACAAACAGCATCTTCAAATCAGTCACTAACTGCTAGTTTCCTACTCACTGTAGTCTCTCATTAGCTGCCTCAAAGAGCATAGATCTTATACAGACATAGTAAGTAATAAAAAGATAAGGCCCCTTGTAGTTAAAATTAATCCCATTAAACTAGCACCCTCAAACCTTCAAATAAATGTAGATCCAAGCTCAAGACAGTGGACAATATTTAGAAAACAAAATATTAAGTACCACAAATGCCAGGAAAGTTCAACACTGCTTTCTCAAACACCACTCAAAGTACAGTGCTATCCTAAAACCCACTGAAGCTGCTGCTGGATGTAATTCTTTGCATCTCTCACCTTTGAGACTGCTCAGTATGTTAAAATCTTCTCAATACTGAAGTAGTGGAAAGTACAATTCCACGCTTCAAAAGCGGAAGGAATACCCCTGAGTGGACAAAGGTTGTAAACTGGACTTACGAAACTGTTCCCTCTGCAGATACGCTTGTATGTTGAAACACGGCGTTAAGAGATGCAAATCCACAGGACTGTAACTGGCACTGCTCTTAATTCCCAACCCACTGCCAAATTCCAGAGAATTATGTTTCCAAGGGTAAAGAACATCTGACTTCAAGCAGAAAAAAAGCCTTTACCAAGAGAGTTTCTCTTCACATATTACAGCAAATGCCTTTGTGAGGGTTTTGATCGATATGCAATACACTGAGTAGGAAAGATGCCTGAAGTTTCTTGTTTCCTCCTTCCTCTTTAGAGATGTTTTCAGTACTGAGCATTTTGTTTTCCCCAGCTGAAGTTAAGAGTTGGTATCATAAGTGCTAACTTTTCCCTTTGCAAATAACACTCCATTACTTTACATTAGCATATTATAACATTAGACATCAGCCCAAGTGTAATGGGCACAGATCAATAACAAGATCCTACAAAAGCTGCTCTGCTGTTTCTTCCATCTCCCAAATGGAACTGTATGTCCACAGCTTGCTTAAGCTGTTCACATCAAGTTTCTCTCTACAGATGTCAAGACAGCCAAGTCTTGACAGATGAAAAATTTAGATGCTTTTATTCCTTTACATTAGCCAACGCTTCAGCAGTAAATGGGAAGCTGAAAGCATGCAAGAGTGCTTTGCTGCCTTTATTTCAAGTTTATCCCAATTATCTGTCCATATTGGTACTTTTTTTTATTATTCCATTAACCTGCCATAGCAGGGTGGCAGACGACCATCCTATTCCAGCCCTGTCCATAGGAAGAGAGCTGCTACTTTCACCATCCTGCCAGCAGAGCTGTTTATATGAGCACTACAAAGACACATCAAGCAAACATCAGTGGAATTAATGCAAAGCATGTATTTAAACTGTAACCCTGACTGCTTAGACCACAAACAGGACAGCAGGCATTCACCTCTCTACCTTGGAAGAAGCAATTTCCACCAGAAGTAGGATAAACAGTGTAGGGCAACAGCATCTTCACCCAAAACAGCTGTTTGCTGGGTGAATGGCAGTCTACGGCTCTTCCTCAATGCTTCCCTCCTGGCTCTCCACTTAACTGTAACATTGCTGAGGGCCTTATGCTATTGCTTACCTCATCTTTGTTATCCCCACTCCCTTCTTTCCTAGTCTGCTCTCCTGCTTTATTCACACTGCAGTGGCATGCCATCTTTTGTGGAAGTACAATGCTCTGCCACCACAGAATATTGTACTAATTACTTACGACAGTGCATCACAATGAAAGGGTAAAGTTATCTTTGACAGCATTTAAGCATTCCCTGCAGAGACAGTAGGAACCCCTGAAAGGTTTACAAACTAACCGTAGCAGCGTTTTGCAGCAATAGCAATGTACATGATTTCAGTGATACTTAGCCATCCTCCCCAAACAGCAAACACTATTTAACAGAGTCCAGCTAAAGGAAACAAGAAAAAACCCCACTTTTCCAGGTGGACTGATTTACTCTCATTTCAAAGAAACAAGCAGGACTGCACACCTGAGATCTTTTCAGCCAGGTGTGAAGTACCAAATGAGAAGGGATCACCAGTGAAGCCTGTCATTAGCACAGCCCTGGTGAAAAGCTAATCACATATACCCCAGGGGACAGAAGAGCAAGAGGATCCTGGTATCAAAGCCTTCTAGACTACAGCTTTCACATCAGGTTCTGGACAGTAGCCATCTTCTAACTGAAAAATTTCTCCTCTTTATAGTCTAAGGAGCATTCGTCTCCACTTCAAACCAGGGCTCAACAGGAAGCTGGACTAAAACATGAATCCCTCCTTCTGACTTTTTCTCCTTCCCCTCCAGCCCCCAGCCTGCTGACCATGGCAACACCAGGTAGCATTAGGAAACAGGATTCTTTAGTTTCACAGCTGCCCACAAGGTTTTGAAAATAGCAACAGGGACACTGATGAGTGCAGCTGGTCCTATCTGTCCAGATTCAGTAGATTAATAAGTACCACAATATCTTACAGCAGGAGAACAGGAGCTGGACAGCTTTTGCACACATATATGTGCAGCATAAGGCAATGGTTTAAACCTCATATACTTACCAGGGAAATGGTAACATTGGAAAAGCAATTGCTAACATTGCTCTGCCTCCTTTGTAAGTTAAGATTGCCCAGACAGCTTAATTCACAGTAAAGATTTAGAGGAGCTATCTCTAAAAAACCCACACCATTCCTCATAGCTATAGTCACAGAAAAACACTGCAGTACATTAATTACTTCAGGAGGTTGTTGAATCCCCCTGGCTCAGCATTAAAGGCTTGGCAGGTATCTATCTGTAATGATGACGAACACCTGTACCTATCTCAGCTATGGGAGGCAGGGCTGGATGCCTCTGAAGTCCCTTTAAGCCCTATAATTCTACAGTTACATCACACCAAAAAATGCAAAGCATAGTCTTCAAAAAATATATATGAAGCAACAAAATCAGACAAAACACTCTTGAAAGTAAATATTGTATTTGTAAAAGAACTCTGCAATCCAAGGGACACCACATGATGCCCTACAATTCACAAACCCAAGACATCTGAAGATAATTTTCATTGGCCAGCATGTTTAATTACTTCTCACTGAGCAGCCCTAAGTATTTCAACTCCACAGCACTGTTTTCTTCCCAATAAACCACATCTGCAGATCGGTTTTTTTTAATTATCCAGCTGCTGCACAGCCTTGAGGCTTTGGCAAACCAACAGTTAAGCGACCCAGCCCATGTTATGCAGCAGACAGCAAGATTAGATCATTACAATCCCCAGTGGCCTCCCCCCAGTAGGCATTACCAAACCATGAGGGTTAGAAACAATTTTCTGAGAAACCACATTCCATAGAAACCCACTGCCCAACCCTCCCAAGGCACCAGGAAAGGCTCTCCCATTCACTGCTAACGACAAGAAAGGGAATTGACAGGGAATTTTTCAGACTATCTAATTAAAATGGCCAGGAGTTACCACGGTGTTTTCCCCGTATGGAGTTAATGGGGTTTATTCAAAAGTCACTTCCTGCCTCCCCAATTAGCGATGACAGAACGCCATTCCTAACGAAGCACTCGGGGCACGCACAGCACCGGCCGGCCCCTCAGCAGGGCCCCATCCCGGGAGAGCCTGAAGCCCGGGGAGCCCAAGCCCCACACAGGAGCTTCACTCGCCCCCGCGGGGAGCACCCTTGCCCCCGCCAGGACCGGGACCACGGGGCTCTCTCCTCTCGCCCCCC